TATGGGGGGCTGACGACGGCTAATGAGCCAGAAATGGTCATTCAAATCTCCCTTGTCTTTGTTGTGCATACTATCTGCCTATACTACCAGCTGTTACGGCTTTCTGGGCCTCTGGCGGGGCCCAAGGCAGAATGGGACATATGAATCCTGTTAGCGGTCAGGTGAACGTTCATCAATGAATGGATGAACTGTCGGTACCTGGGGCGAGCAAAGGGTCATACAAAGTCCTACTCGAACTTCGAGGTCAGATGCTAACATCTATCAGCTCTTCAAATGGAAGACTAAGTTGAAATACCCAATCTGAATAAGTTTATCATATAACCAGTCAATGGACCAGAACTCCACAAACACTTTATCTTATCACTATACAATAGCATTGGTTTTACTACTATATAAGGCTACTTTTTAACTGCGTTTCCAGGAACACGAATTGGCCTTCCTGCTTGCAAGCATGTTCCGCCTCTTCCATGCCAATGCGGAGGGTAACCTCCAGTTGGACAGAGTTGATGATTTGGCTGACATCAATTCCTGGCTAGCTGAAATCCTCAGTACAGATTGCGACCTTAAGTACTGGCAGAAGGTTGTTGGTACGGTGAGTTGAAGCCTGACTTTGGTTCAGTCTATACGTACGTTTTACTATTATTGACCCCTCCCCCGTCTTCCGATCAACTAGAAGTCCGATACTTAGCTACAACCGCTCACATTTTCATTCAACAAGAGGTTTACACACATGGACCACAGTCTAAAAGTTCAGACCCCTCTTACTTGTGGCACCTATCGCAGCAGGATTCGCGTCACCCTAACCCCCTCCCATGTTCGATTTAACCTCTGCCTCAATCTGTGTCACGGTACAGGTGAATCTTCATGGCGATGGAGATGTTGCGTCGGATCAATAAGCGCTCTCTAAAGTTTGATAAAAGCCAGTGAGCAGCATCGATTCCGAAGAAAATGTCGTCCTTAATCTGTTCATTGGACAGCAGCGTCGCACCAAGGCATCTGAAACTATCCACTTCAAGCTGACACCATCAACCTCGAGAGGTCCCTTCCCCTTGTCAGAGATGCAGCTTGCAAAAAAATCAGATTCTTTGTGGACCAACCGACAGTATGCGAACGTGAAACCATGGACTGCAGACCACGAAAGCTGGAAGCTAATAAGACTATCTCCTCAGCATACTCGGAGTCAGTCAGCCGGCGTCCGGGTGCAAATTCACCACCGTCATCTTCTTGCAGGGCCCTCCCGATAATCCAGTCAATAGCGTAGTTATACAGAGTGGCTGGTAGAATACAAAATTTTCAAACACCAGACCGAACATTGAATAGTTGTGAAGGATTGTTATAGACTAGAATTCGCGCAATGGTGGAGCAGTAATAGACCTTGGTCATGATGAGTATTTTGACGTCATTGCTAGCCCCCGCCCCAAACAACCACATAATATTTACTCGCTACTGATGTGTAGTAAGTAGGCTAAACGTATACAACTAAACTTACTTACGATACTCCCAAAACTTACACTAACTGGATGAATGAAAAATAAAGATATGCGTGTACGTGAACTACTGAAGATTGGCAAATTATAAATTGTCAGCTGTTGTCCCGCCGAAGCAGTCCAAAACATCAATTCCAAACTTTCCAACGGACCTCTCCAAGTTTGCGAAATAATTTCTGAGGAAATCACAGTGTAGCTTCGAAAAACAAGGGAAATGTGCAACGTTTCTCTTTCCAATCGTCCCCACAACTATGGAAATGGCTTTCAAAAAATGTCCCTTCAATGCGGCTGTGCTGGATCAGTAGACTATGTTTAAACCAGTTTGACCTCAAAGTCATAATGCAGCCTAGTGATACGAATATGACCTGTCCCAACTCTACAACATTCGTTCGTAAATATCAGCGGAAGTAATCATGCTCCATAGTAAACAGCGTGTTTTCTGTGGCAGGAACTAGTCCTATATGAGGACAACTGTGTAGGTAGGAATCTGCAACAAAAGATGGGAAACTAGACTGATGTTACTGTTCATTGGCTTCTACCCTTTATGTTTAGCCTGCACTCTTTGCTATTTGACTGTTTACTCTTCAGGGAACTTTCGCATTCCATGGACTATCGCGATTTCTCTCCGACGCGTTTATGGTGCCTTAATACGTGCTATGATTGGAGCATCACTCCATTTAACGTAGCTACCGTGGTCACTGCATTTACTACTCATCTTTATAATAAACACATCCCTCTCAATAGGTATGCTCAGCTAATTTCTTTCCAATTGCCAGGCCCTCCGTGAACTTCAAAACCGCTATCCATCGCCCACACTCGAAGGCATGCGTCAGACAATCGTCACTTTTGCAAAGCTGCAATGGGCCGAAATATTCACCCGCGAGTTTGAGGTAAAGGTGCTGGTTGACGATAAGACTTCCTACGATGCGCTAATTGGGGTTGAAAGCAACGGAATCCAGTTATACGATGAGAGTGGAAAACACTTCACGGCGTTGAATTTCGTGGAGATCCATTCTGTATGCGTCAATCCGTAAGTCTTCTATTACAGCTTGTCCTCAAAGTATTTGGCTTCTTAAATCTTTCTACAAAAGTGTGATCAACTTTAAAATGTGCGACTATAATTCGCTGTTCTGAAGCTAGCTTTTATTTTTATTTCGGAATATATTTGGGGTACATTGTGTTTATGAGCAGTAATGTTTGATTTAATTTTTAAGTATGATGTTGGAATGAACTTTCGGTTCAACCTAATCCTAGTTACTTTTTCGTTTCTGATGGTTCTCAGTCCTCCGTAACTTTTCAGTCGTTAAATATATCGTAGGTCTGCAGGCCGACAGATATGATCGGTCTGTTCTTGATTTTCAAATTTCAACTGCAGCTCTACAGAAAATTACTTTTTTGAAGTTTGCTGTTCCCTGCATGACCGATACTACGACAGTTGAGCTTATTTCCTGTCTTGTTTTTTTAAAGAATGGGCGAAGGCCTGTCAAAAGTTCTCTCCATCAAAACGGTCTGGATGAAAGAATACAGATGTGTAACGAACAGGGCGGACGATATGAAAGATTTGATGGTCTATCTACTGACAGGTTTGCGCCAGCAATCCAGATACGCCGTCGCCACGAAGGAATTCTCCGCTCCGGACCGTAAGGGGCTTTCCTGCTGAGTCTCATTTATTATTTCAGTTATGCATTGTGTCATGTTATGCTATGATCGGTCGATCTAAAAAAATCATTCAGCCAACATTTCATTGAAAACTGGGCACAC